CACTACCACAACCGGGAAGGTGTGTGTGGTTCCTACGCTTTTTCTTGGTTGGTTTGAAATCAGGGTTTTTGGCCAACTCCCCTAGGTGAACTAACAGTGGTCTACCAACCCAGTTATAGCCTCGGGTGTCGGCTTTTCGTTCGCTCATTTTGGTAGGAAAACACCTCTGCCACGAGAAGGTAGTAACTAGGGCTTCCTTAGCAAAGGCTATTTGAGACGCTGGGTTATAGAGGAGCATTTCACGAGGTGCAAAGGAAAAGTGACCAGCCGCAACCCTAGACACCCACTCCCGACCATACTGAGGCTTTCGGAGGCTGAGTGGAAAACATAGTGTAATTCACCATAGGTACACAGATTGTTACCAGATGTCACGGTGCCCTTTTCAGGACGGTTGATCACCAGAGAGTCAGTTCTGATCTGGGCACTGGGAAACGGGCGAAAATCGTTCCACAAGTTTTGTACCTTGAGGACGCGAAACATTATTCAACCATTACAATAGTCTCTGCTTTAACAAATGTAATGTCGCAGAAGCTTCGTCCTAATGAACTACTGGGTAGTTCTTCACGTCATTTAACGTAGTGATCTATCATGGACATCAGCGCTTGAACGCCTTTAATCTTCAAACATCTTCCCTATCAGCCAAGTGAAGTTCGCATAAAACCCCGGGGTATTTTCCGAAGCTTCATGAACCCCGTTGGTGTTCTTGGTGCCCAGATAGATTGTTTTCGATCATTCGATAGTTGAGAGACTGTTAATTGGTTGTAGACAAATGTTGACTGTGTCGATCGGACACCGCATTTGGAAAGAAGTTAGATCTCCAATGCATAGATCACTAAATACGGTATATTCGACAAACATTCCTCACCGTTCAGAATGTCGGTCGTTGTATTGTACAGAATACCAATATCGTCTGTGTGATTGCTTAGACATTATGCAATCAGTTGCGCTGTTGAAACGGATTCAGCTGTGAAGAGTAGCTTCTTTTCTTTTTCCCTTTTACTTCGTTCCATTGAATACTTGTTACATTTTTCTGGAAGGGAGAAGCGGAAAATCAAAGGGTTGCCATACAACACACAATGGGGAGTCAAGCTGTAGTGTGGGGATTCGAACATATATCCCCGGGGTTATAATTTGGTGACGTTACCACCAGTTCACCCCACCCCATTAGCTTGATATGGAAATTCCGAAAGAAGCGTTTGCCCAGGTGTGAATAATCATTAATGTAGTTGGGTCTACATCTAAGCGACTTGATGAAAAACAGAAATTATGACGTCTAAAGCAGAGAAAAGCAGGGGGGGGGTATTGTACTCAAATATATATATATATATTGACAAAATGTTGAAAATCGGTTCTCGTAGCTCGGGTGAACTGAATTCCATTTCGCCTGTTCGCCGAGCTTGGCAATTTGTTTGCAAACGTTTCATCACCAGTCGAGGTGACACCATCAGTGCTTGTGAAGTGGCCACTTCACAAGCACTGATGGTGTCACCTCGACTGGTGATGAAACGTTTGCAAACAAATTGCCAAGCTCGGCGAACAGGCGAAATGGAAGATATATATATATATATATATATATATGGTAGTGAAGCCCATGATACGTACCTGAAATGTTTGAAGCCACAAATGAAAG